GTGAAATAAGTAATTACATTGTTGGCTAAAATTCTGAAACAACTTTTAATTGTTTTTTTCCAAGTTTACTTTAATGACAATCAAGTTTAAAGGTTGGTCAAAAAACAAAAGTAAAAAATACAAAATGAGCTCAATTTTATTTTGCTTTAATAAATGCCAATAACAGCTCTTTCTCCTTCTTATAGAAACTTTCAGTTTTTTCAATTAGAATAGTATCCTAAACATACCATTGATGAATAACAAAAATTGCTATAATATGTTGGCAACTATAACAAAATTGATATATGTAAACTGCTTTACTGAACAGTTTTGAACGTTTATTTAACCCCCATTTCAAATGACTGCTTTATGATTAGCAGTAAACGTCTGCAACAGCATTTATTGTTTTACAATAAAAATTTATTGATGTTGATGAGAGAATAAAATGAAATTAGATTTTTATTTTAGAGAACTTCAGATCAATAACATCATTTAAAAAAAAAAAAAAAAGTAAATGAAACAATATATATACAAATTGTTTCTTTTTCCTCTTAGGTCATATTTATATAAATGTAAAAATTGAGCCTGAAATTAAACATTTCAAATGTTGAAGGTTATAAAAGTTATTGCAAATGTTTGAACTGCTGCTATGTTCAAAAAAAAAAAGAACCTAAATATATCAGTGTGATATTGAGAAAGTTTTAACGAAAAAAAAAAAGCAACAAAAATATGGTGTGAAGAAAAAACTATAAAACTGAACTATTACGAGACTCAGTGACAAACGAATGTTCTCCTGTTATCTGAATCTATTCAAAAATTCTCAAAAAAAGCTGTTTTCCACATGTGTGAAAAACACTGAACAAGTGCTGACTTTTTGTTTCCTTTTTTTTTGCAAACATACAGCTCCATATTTCCGATACAAATCATTTTCAATTTCCCTTTTCTCCTTTACACTATTCCCTTCAAAGAAATGTTTTCAATATTAAAAAACAGTTTTATTTTTCCTTGTTAAAAAATCTTAACTTATTAACAGTTGTAATGTGTCTTTATTTATTCTTTTTTCAGCTATTTTGCACACGTTTGCTGTTGTTATTGTTGTTCCTCTTTTTAGAGATAATCGAATTTGATCAGTGGATCTTTGAAATGTGTTAAAAAATTTATTTTTTACTATGACTTTTAAATTAAACTTCCTGATTTCTCTCTGAAGGAAAACAATGTCAAATGGCGGTGCAGAATAAAACTTTCAGACCTTTGCTTAGATACTGTTCGGCTGCTTTGATCAATTCTCACACCTTATAGCTCATCTTTTACTGATTACTTTTAACAGTTAAACCTACGTTTGGTATAGGTAAATAACACTATCTATTTGTTGCCTTAACAACTAGTTTCTTTAATCTTCCTTTACTTCCCCCACATTAATCAAC